ATTCTAGAAGCCAGGTTTCAAGGGTGAGGGTTGGCAGGGAAGAGAGAAGGGAGATTCTAAACCAGGTCTCTGGACTCTATTCTGCCTCTGGGAGTTTGTCACCTAACTCAGAAACTCCCTCTACCTTTTAAATCCTTTATTAATCAGTACTCAAGAAGCAAGTTAAGAAGTGTCCTCCATAACATACCTCTTCACCCTCTATGCCCAAAGTTGTCCTCAACCCATTCCAGTCCAGTAGATGAGATGTTGGATTGAGACCCAGCTCATGGGGTTGCATAGGGTTGTGTTGCTAGGAGAAGTCTGGGTCAACCAAGTCGCTCAGCCCCACCAAGCCCTTAAATTGGTTCAGTTTGTTAGCATGAAAAAGTCTCCAAGTAAAGACAAACCTTTCAAGAAAGAATTAGAGACCTTTGAGTGGAAAAGGATCCTAGAGACTTGCTGTTTCATATTCTCGTTTTTATATAGACTCATTATATAAAGATCATAGATGAATCCCTGGCACCCAGGGAAGAATAAGAGTGGTTGCCACTTGTTGGGCATCTATGTGCTTTACATAAATTCTTATTTAATCTATACACTAATGGGTGAGGCTGGCATTCTTATCCTCGTAATTTGTGCACGGGTAGGGTCCCCAGGCCTGGCTGGCGATCGGGGCCAATCAGGACCAGCAAGCCGGGGCCTTCCTTCCCCAGCTGCCGGCTGCCTTGTTCTGGGCCACCCCCTGGTGGTCAGCACACGTCATAGTGATCGATGGAAATACCAGTCTCCCGGTCAAACTCCCAAGGGGACACTTTGCATATTAGCCTTTTATATATGTAGATTAGAAAATTGAGTCTGCGAGAGGCTAAGTAAATTGCTCCGAGTTACACAGCTAGTAAGTGGGAGAGCCAAGATTGGACTTCAGACTCTCAAGCCACTCTTTCATTTTACTTATTGCTGCTCCCTAACGGCCACATGGGAACTTAGTAGCAAAATGCAGATTGGAACCAAGATTTTGATTCCCATGACCTTTCCACGATCTCATGTTCTATCTATGTTTATTTTAAAGCCTCCCCAGGAAAGTTTCCATATGTCCCCAGGTAACATGTCTAATACCTCACAATGAAGAGGGCTCCATTTATGTTTAACAGAGACCCCTGGCCTTTTGTTTTAGTTTCTGTTCTTTTTTTCTTTTTCTTTTTTAATACAAAAATCACCTTGGGTTTTTCAGTTTCTTAATCAATGGTGGTTTATTTTTTGTTTCACTATAACTCGTTCAATTTTATAAGAAAAATGTTGGGAATCCAATGGAAAATTGGGCAAAGGTATAAAATAGCAATTTCTGCAAAGGGAAAAAATATATCAGCACATGGAATGAATAGACAGTCTTACTGGTGATTAAATAAATACAAATAAATGTTAAATTAGTTTATTTTTTCCCTTAATCTAATGACTCCTAGTGTTTGTGAGATTATGGTAAAAGAATTCTCTGCTAATGTTGGTGTCAGTTGGGGAAATCTTTGCAAAGCATTATGGCATACATATCAGGAGTTATAAAAATGGTCACAACTTTCAACCCTATACTTTGTTTCCTGGAAATTATACAAAAAAAAAACCCACAATTAAACAGGAAAAAACCCTCTGTGCATAAAAATGTTCATTGCAGTATTGTCGATGATTTTGAAAAATTACAAAATAAAAATGAAAGAAACAATCTAACTATTCAACACTAGAAAACCAATTGAACAAACATTGGCGTACTGACTCAGCGCACAGTACTGCATTACCATTTCAAATCATTCACAGGAGTGTGCGGTAATATGGAAATGTTTATGCTATGACATGAGCTAAAAGTAGGATACAAATTACATATTATGATGCACCTGTGAAACGCGTTATACATGTCAACAAAATGGAAAGGTGGGATATAAAAATAAAAATGCTCTTCCAATTTAGGAGGATTGTGGGTAATTTTTTCCTCTTGTAAAGTTTTCTTTAATGTTGATGTTATATTGCCTCTATTGTTAAAAGAATGAAGTATGGCAAACGCTGCAGGGAGTCTAAGCTCTGAATTGAGAAGTAAAGGACCTGAGATTTCTCCTTTTTCCCCCAATGTAAGATGCATTATGGACCTTCATAAACCTCAGTTTCTCAAGCCGCACAACGGGTTAATACTCATTTCCTTTATCCCAGATTGGCAGAATGTTTATTTTATAAAGCTTTTAACTCACTGAATGTAAGGGTCCGTATAAATTTGGTCCTGGGAGAATGAGAGGTGGGAGGGAGAGGAAAAGATAAATAGGCACTAATTAGTTATATAAGGAAAGATCATCTGCTTTCATCGGAAATGCGTATGTGCTGTGCCCCTACGCAGAGGTTTAAGTGAACTCCTTGTTAGTTAGCAACTTCCATTTAAAGCCCCGTATGATCCTTTGGGCTTTACAGATGTGAAGCTTATATGCATACACATGAGCTAAAATGACCGCGTGCTCACACGGCTGTGTGCACTCGGAATAATTCAGTGCACTTAGCAACGCTGGCTGATGGGCTGACGATGGGTGAGAGTCGTGCAAAAACCACGTGACACGAGAAATTACAGGACATTTTGAAATGATGGTCTTATTTCCAAGCTTTCTTTTTAACTTGTGCTCTCTCTTTTAGCCATTACAGACAAGTAGAAGAGATTTGATTATCCGGTTTCCTTGAAAGGTTATTTAGCTCCTCAATCCCATTAAGTCGCTTTCTGCACTCCAGTGCCCTGCGCCTTCCCCCGGTTCTCAGCCAGGAAGAGTAAATGGAGACACCAGGATCGGATTTCTAAAGGAAGGAAAGTTAAAGGAGCTTAGGAACTCAATTAGACTGAAAGACAACTATCTCATTATCCTGTTCCGAAATGATCTGAATACATAAAACTCTAAAAGTTTTAAATAAACTTGTCCTACGGACTGTCTAGATGACTGCAAATTCTTCTCAAAAAGTGTTTAAACACCCACTTTCGTATTTATTTATTCTAAGCGTGAGCGGCCGCGATAATTATGCTGTCAGACTCAGTAAGCTAATGAGGAGTCAGCCAGTGGAAGGCTTCGCGTTTGTGAGATTGCTGCAGGATAGCTGCTCAGATGCTTCTTTCCTTCTTTCTTTTTCTCTTTTCTTTTCTTTCTTTTTTCCCCCCAATGAATTGGGAAGGAGAGTGGGGCAGTCCGTGGCCAAACTGGAATCCTTTTGATTAACTGATTGCTTTCCCAGGACTGTTCTGTCAGATAGTGTCTCTCTCTCTCTCTCTCTCTCTCTCTCTCTCTTTCTCTCTCTCTCTCCCCTATTTTTCCCCTCACTCCCTTTCTCTCCCCCCTCTCCCTCCTCCCTCTCTCCTTGCTTTTGAGGAGCTGCTGCTCTTGAGGGGCAAGGAAGCCTCAGGGGACCTTCATGTCACTGTCCCCAAGGCCAGAGGACTCTCCCCCCTGAGGGAAGTTCCCAAGACGGTTCGGACTTGCGTTGATTTGAGAGTAATCCATCGTTTCTGCACTGTTTATTTTAGCTGCTTGACTGTTTATGCTATGGCATGAGCTAAAAAGGAAGTTGAATATAAAATTGCATATTAAAATGCACCTCTGGAAATGTATTAGGCGTATCAACAAAACTTGATGTCTCCCCTTTCAACCCTGGAAAATATGTGTTTCCAAGCCCAAGGGGCCAGGCCACAGATCACTCACAGCGTCAGTGCAGGCCGAGCGAGGCGGGGCCCACTCTGCAGGTTTAGTTCCTCCCTTCGGGTGTGAGCAGCTCCCAGCAAACAATATTATTCAGGCGTTTTAGGCCCTCGGTGCGCCAGATCTAGAAGCTTCTCTTTCTGTAAACTGCGGGACATTTACAGCCACGCGGGTTTGCGCCGGTTGTGAGCCTGGCAAAGCCATGCCCGTGTGGAAAGATGCCCTAGGAGGTGTTGTGGGTGTGCTTGGTGACAATGTGGCTGTCGCCTCTTGCTTTCTCTCAGTTGAAATCTCTGCTGATGCTTGTAACAACGGCTATAGTTGTTAAAAGTATATCGTGTATCAGGAACCACCCAAGATGTTTCGTATAGGTCTTCTTCCGACGTAGAACAATCTGCAGATGAGCCCCTTAACATGTTACCTTTAGGAGGTCTCGGCCCATGACGTCAGCGTAGGAAGCACCAGGAACAACACACTTAGCAGACATGGGCATTTACAATCACACGAACTGCCCGCGCTCTGCTACCCAAATACATCAGTCAGATGACAAATGTACTATATCTTTTTTCAAAAAAAGTTTTAATTTACAAAAGTTGCATTTAGAGTCTATTTAAATAGATTGCCTAAAGGTATCTAATGTAACAGGGTCTGAAACTTTCCAAAACATACCTAACCCAGCAAGGCGCCCATTGCCTATCGTCCCTGGGAGAAATGTTCAGACTCCTTGGCTTGATAACTAACTCCCTTCACCTTCTAGTTCTGTTTTTCCAATTTTATCTTCCAGTTCGCCTTGCTCTAACCATGCACAATTACTGGCAATTCTCTCAAACACTTTGCTTCCTTCATGCCTTTCCTTAGGCTGATCCCTCAGCCAGGAACGCCCTCCCTAGAAGTCCTTGACTATTGATGGGACCATCCTTCAAGGCACCTAGGGCCTTGCCCATGCGTTCCCCAGGCTCCTTGTAGACTTAGGGGAAGGGCTGTCCTGGTTCTTTGTTTGCACTTTTGGCCCTTGTTTGTTAGTGTGTGTGTCTCCCCGTTCTATTCCTACATTGACCACCTTCCACACCTAGGCCTTACCCGAGTGTTCATTTGGTAAACATGCATTGAAGTGGATTGAACAGGAGCCGCTTGACAGATGTTAGTAGAATCGGTGAAGTCAGTTACCCATGAGTCAGTGTAATTTATTGGTGGGTACGTCTGGCTCATGTTTTGATGTCTCTTCGGGTGACAAATATTACAAAGACATAAAACGTACACCGTGAAATCCCAGGAAATAATACGTTGGTGCTTTTCTCCTTTTTTCCCATACAGAGGAGTCTTTGTTTACAGTTTCAGGAGTGGGGCTGAAGCCAGAAATGTATGACCTTTTGGCTTCCTACCGGAAAGGTCACCGCACAGGCCACTTTAGCAAATGCTGGTGAAAAGGAAGGGCAACATCGCCCAGATCCTTCAGGTAAGTGGTCCCAACAGAGAGGCTCCTGGTGGGCAGGATTGAGAAGTGATCGCCGCCCGGAGGGGAGACCCTGGTTCACAGACCCAGAGCACCTCTGCCCTGTGTCTGGCGCTTCATTCCCTCTCTAGGGACAGGCGGCCCTGCCTCCTCCGGCTGTGAAAGAGGGCGATGCTGGGCACCACCTGTCTCTCCCACTCCCAGAGGAGTGGCAAGGCTCCTAGACAAAGGTCATGGTGAAGCCTTCAGCTGACACGCGTGGAATAAAGGGTTACAGCTGTCATACTGTATTCCCTTAACTACAGCATTTCCTCTGTCTGCCAATAGGACACAATCAAAGGTCAGGGTGACCAACCATCCCTGTGTGTTGAGCCTGGGGTGTCTTGGGACTGTGGGACGTTTGGTGCTAAAACTGGCCCAGTTCCAGGTGAGCCAGGATGCTTGGTCGCTGTGGTGGTGCAAGTGACCACCTGACCTGCCTCCATACTCCAGAGAAGACCTGGTCCAGAGCCTGGCCCTGACCAGGAGACGGTTTTAGAGGCCAATGAGAGTCAAGTCATCACTACTACAGGCTTCTTAGACTACACCTTCTGGGAGTTGTTACAGGGAGTCCTTTCATTCAAGGTGAGTTCAGGAGTCATCCACAAATGTCCCAGACACAGCTGCTCTCAAGTGTCCCCTCTACCAACCAGGGGTAGCCCAGCCTTCCACAGTAATCTTGAGGAGGAAGAGGTGCTGTGAAGGATTCCCCCAAAGCTACCCTAAAGGTAGTTCTGCTGTAGGCACAGGAAGCCAGGTGGGGCAACCCCCAAAGCTACCGTAGTACAGACATCCCTCGATGCTACAAGAGCACTTCTCGCACCAGGCCTTCCGTGGAGGGCAGAGGGGAAAGTGATCTAAACAGAGGACTCAAGGTGGGACCCACGCACAGAGCCAGCCAGCCAGCCATCCTTTTAGGTGACTCTGGCTAGATCCCAAGCCACAAACCTTAGACTATGATTTGGCCACCCATTTGGCAACCACGCTTGGCTATGCTTCCTAACGGAACTTCTGGGACCTGAATGGTCACCACTGGCATACTCCCCCACCCCCCAACATTGTTCACACGGCAGGATTCAGCTCTTTGCCACTTTGTCTCGGCTCTCTCCTTGGCTGTTGATATCTAAAGACATGATGTACACATCTAGGAGTCTCCCCTCTGGATCTTATAAGAATCTTAGAAATTTGGAAAGATCAGGGATGTTTAGAATTATAGCTATTCCTCAGAGCATTTTATGAACTACCTAAGTTTGTATTTTGACAATACATAATTGGAATTACAACCGGCAATACAATAATGTGAAATTTCCCCAGCAGAATGTTTTCTAGGGCAGAGATTATACTGTGTAATTACGCCATTTAAAACCCACTAGTTATGAGAATAGAATTACTTTAGCTGCATTCTAAACAGTGTGGGATTTGTGCTTCATAGAATTAACAACGACAGGGATGGAGATGGTTTCAGATGGTGGTGCTACATTACTCATTTTTATCACTTCTATTGTTGTTATTTTGCTTTATTTAGAACCTGCCTCTCTGACCAATAGTGACTTGTCACGAAGAATTGTTACCTGTAGGTGTGAATTGGTCACAATGGAAAATCGGTTAAATGCAGGGTGGCAAACGTGATGCCTATGCCAACAATTGAAGAAGGGGGGGGGGCCTCTACTGGAGTAATCTCACCATGTCCCTGGGCCCCTGGTACTAATGCAGGAGATAAAACCCATCGGAGATGAACCACAAAAGGGAAAAGCTAAAGCAATTAAACTGCTTAATAAATGGCTTGGTATCAGCAAAATCTGGAAGTTAAAGAGACTAAAGTGGTAATCAGCGGACACTTGGGGCCTGAAAGTCTTTTCCACTAAATTGAATTTATGTTAAAATATTCACTTTTCAAGAGATTCAAAATGTAAATTGGGGTATTAGGACTTATAACTGCCAGCAGTGCCTCAACATTAAGACTCTTAAAAGACCCTCAAAATGTCAGTTTCAGGTCTGGTAAGAATGTAGATGGTGTCCACAGTGGAGACATAGGGGGCACTAAGATTTACTGTGCATATACCATGTGCCAGGCACTTTACACATCTTATTTCAAAGCTCGGTGTGTTTTGAACAGTGGGGTGTGAAGTGGTGCAGCTATAGTCTGTAGATCCAAAGATAGATTTTGATTATTTTAAAAGTTTACCTAGTTCTTATTACCAAGGGTAAGATGCTGCCTCTGTTACCATTTATTATCACCTTTTCTATCAATAGATATAATTCCATCAATAACTTTGCAATAATCTTTAACAGATTTTCCTTACTCAATCTGTACAATGTCATTATTATTTTTATTTTGTTTATTCTTCATTTACGTCCAGGGCTGCATTACTGCTGTTTCTGTTTTAATTTGCTTCAGCTTACTGAGAAGTTTCTAATTTAACTCCACACTGGACCAGGATTTTAAATATCACCTGTGACCTGAAATATTTTAAATGTATTATGTCCACGGTACATCATACTTGAAGGAAAAGCAATGGAAGGCTATTGCTATTGTCATTTGCCTAGAATTTCACAGTGATTGGCTCAAACATTAGACATCCTGAAACAGTCTGAGAAGAGGACTTCTGGGTAATCCTGTCCCTTTCGTTATCTGATAGATCCCTGGCAGGAAGGACAACGGGACAGACGGGAGCGTGACAATGGAAAGAATTCAGAGTCTGGGCTTGTGCTTACGGAAGCCTGTCACTCCTGTGTTCACTTACAATTCCTCCCAACAAAAGGACTTCTGTGGCAAGGAGAGGATTCGTCTAAGGTTTAAAACAGCCTCCAGAGAAGATGGTTTCTTGGATAAAGTTGTCGACCAAAGGACTTGCTTAAGACTCTTTGTTATGATTTCCTAGGGCACTCCTTCCCTCGCTTCCTGCACCATCAAAACACTTTACCGCCCCACCCAGCCAGATTTTAGGAGTTTGGATTGAGCTGCTGCTTAGAATTAAATTTCAGTTTATCTCCTTCTATTGAATCCTAATTGTCTGTGATGATTGCAAAAGTGATGAGGAACCTAAGCTCTGATTTGATGGTGGAGATACTGGGTAAACAGATAGGAGCAAAGAGTTCCAAAGACGTAATTCAAATGCTGTTACACCATCAGACATGCATGCATATGTGCACACATGTGACCCTGAAATGAAATGGGAGGTTTGTCTCGACTGACACATGTATCATCTTCTTCAATGACTCCTTCTGAAAGAAGCCAGGACAACTCAAATTACTTTGTCAAAGGATCATCTACTCAGGAAATGTGGTAGCCTGGAAACCAGAGACCTTTATGGATCCTTCAGAAGAACAAGGAGGACTAAAAAGAAAGAATTAAAAAATAGTACCTATCCACCCAAAATCTGAGATGGAAGAAAGGAAAAGGGATACAAACAGTCCAACGAAATCTACCTTAGTGAGTACTTGGTTTTGGTAAGGCATGTGACAAAGCCTGTCCAGATATACCTGAAATACAAAACTGTGTGGGCTGGGTGGATGGGACAGATATGTGAATTCAAAGAACGGTGGTTATTCAACCTAGAGAAAGGCTGATAGTGGTGTGTTACAAGGTTCAGTCTTGAGTGCCATTCTGGTCAAATATTTTTATTAATCAGTTAAGTAAAAATCAGAGAAGGTACACAATTTATTCATACAACCCACTGAAGTAAATACTGTTATTATTCATTTATTATTTCCATTTTACAAAGGAGAAAACGGAAGCTCAGAGAAGTTAACTCCTCCAAGGTAGTACACCATAGTTAAGGTACAAAACTATGGAGACAGTAAAAGGATCAGGGGTTGCCGGGGGTTAGGAGGGAAGAGATGATGAAAAGACAGAGCACAGAGGGTTCTTAGGGCAGTGAAACTATGTTTGGTACTATAACGGCAGAGACATGTCACTATAAATTTGTCCAAATCCATAGAATGTACAGCCCCAAGAGTGAATCCTAATGTAAACTACACTAGTAGACTTTGGTCGATAATGATGTGTCAATGTAGGTTCATCAACTATAATGAATGTCTACTCTGTTGGGGATGTTGACAATGGGGAAGGCCATGCCTGATATGGGAACTCTCTGTAACTTCTGCTGAATATTTCTCTGAAACTAAAGTTGCTCTAAAAAAATAAAGTCTTAAAAACAAACAACATGTAAATAACTAATTTGCAACAAGCCAATACAACCTTTAGTCCAATCAAATTTCATCTGATTGAACTTCTTACACTTAAGGCTTAAAATGTCAACAAGTTAAATAAGGCTGTGACATAGTGGAAATTGGTACAATATGAATTAATAGTATGTCTGACCGACCACAAAAGATAATGCTACACTTTTAAGTGATATAAATGAAGGAATATGATGGTGTCACAGAGAGGGGATGGAGTTTACTCCTCTGACGAGATCACATCAAAACGATGAAGTTTAACTCTATCCATCACACTTTGAAAGAAACACCACCACATGGAAGGAAATATTTCTTGTGCATTTATTAGTTTACAGATCCAATTCTGTTTGATCCTCCTAAGACTAAGAGGTGGATGTAGCTCTTTCCCACTTCACAGAGAAAAACACAGAATCAAATGTAAATAACTAGGATTTGATACTCAGACTCTGTCCCCAAAGTCTGTGCTTTTTGCACCCCTCGCCCAAGCTCTGTGCCGCATGCTTCAAGAAGGGCTATGAGGAGAACAGAGGGCATGGGGATCAAGGCACAAGGAAGAACAGCTCAAGAGAGAAAACCCAGGAGGCAGAGAAATTCCATCCAGAGGGTTGAGGGTTCTCACAGAGCAAAGTGGTTGGCCTTCTGTTGGGTGGCTGTGGAGCCAGGACAAATACGTAGAAAGCTCAGAGATAGTGCTGTTTACACAGCAGGAAGAGTTCTCCAACACTTCACCTGCCACCAATGGAATGAGTTCCACACTCTAGTGGGCTTCCTCTACACCCAGAAGACATGGAAAGCTGTAAGAGGGATCCTCATATTGGAGATTCTCTAAGGTCCCCTCTAATTCCAACATTGTCTGACAATGGCTTTGAACAGCTGTTGACAGACTATACTTGAAATTATAGTAAGATCCTATTGTTGCAAGAATGGGTAGATTTGTTTTATTGTTAAAAAGGGATTTAAAAAAATAGAAATCATCAAAATTATCCTCTTTAATTACAATGGAAGATAAATTATGCTTATGCTTCCTTCTTTATCTTTTATTCATAAATTCACTTCTTTAAAAACTTAATAAAATTTTTATATAAAACACCAAAATACCATTCTACTCTTTCTTCCTTGATTTTGTGAAAGGAGCATGCCTGGTGTTTGTGCAGATGTTTTTCCTCCCACGTTTTTATTGATTCTTTTGTATGACATGCACCTGACTTTTTAAAAACGTAATTTAATTTTGTTCATTGTGATATGTGAGTTATTTTAGTGATGCTTCCTTACTTACTCACGAGTGCTACTCACCTAATATTTGTCTGCAGAGCTCCATGACTGGATGGCACTTCCTGGCCCTCTGTGGGTGGGCAGGGCTATCTTAGTGCTGGCCAGGGAATTGTGAGTGGAGGTGATATGTGTCACTTTCAGGCCCAGCATTCATTTGATTGCCAGTGCAAGACCCTCCAGATCATTCTTCTTTCCTTCTGTTACAATGACCCCAGAATGAAGAAACGTAAAACAGAGTCCCCTGATGACATATGATGGATGTGTGGTGGGAAAGGGGAATAAAACTTTATTGCTTTAAGCCACTAATATTTTGGGGTTGTTACTGCAATAGAGTCTAGCTAGCCTATCCTGACTAGCAGCACCAGGGCAAGTAAAACATATACCTGTGCTGTCCAACATGGTAGCTACTAGCTACATGTAAATTCATATTTACATTTAATTAAGTTCAACATTCAATTCCTCAGTCCCACTAACCACATCTCAAGGGCTCAATAAGTACATGTGGCTAGAGCAGTGATGGCGAACCTATGACACGCGTGTCAGAGGTGACAGGCGAACTCATTTTTTTGGTTGATTTTTCTTTGTTAAATGGCATTTAAATATATAAAATAAATATCAAAAATATGTCTTTGTTTTACTATGGTTGCAAACATCAGAAAATTTCTATATGTGACATGGTACTAGAGTTAACTTAGGGTTTTTCAAAATACTGGCATGCCAAGCTCAAAAGGTTCGCCATCACTGGGCTAGAGGCAACCTTAATGCCCAATGCAGATACACAACGTTTTCATCGTTGAAGAACGTGCTGTTGAACAGTGCTGAGCAGTGCTTGGGATTTTCATGAGTTGGTAATGATATCTTCTAAGTATAGAAGATAATATCAATGATTTCTTGATATTTTAAATATACATCTAATACCGCCTTGGTGTTATTCTCCAAAAGTTTCACCTCTTTTAAATGAAATCTCTGGGAGCGTCCAGTGGAGGTTACCTTCTGAAGGAAAATACATCACTCAAAGCGGTTCCATTTCTTAGAACCGAAGGTCTTTTCCTGAAGGTTACATTGACTCAGAGGATTACTGCCTTTTTGTTACCCTTGACGCCTTTTGTAAATGAATTCCCAGAGTAGTTTTATTTTAGTCCTTCCTGTCTGAAGCTGTTCACATTCTCTACTCCTCACGCTTCTCTCTCCCTAAGTTGCTTAACAGCACCTGGTGTAAGATCTGAGGTGTTCAGTAATGAATTCATTCAAGTTTATTAACATGCTTGTAAAATTGTGTTTCTATCTTAAGAGCTAACATTGGATACTACAATAAAATCTTGTGGGAGCCCAAAATTGAACCAAAATATAAAGTAAACCAACCCATCTATTGATTAATTCATTCAACAAACATCTAGGCACTAGAAATACAAAAATTAATAGTCCTTCCAGGGGTCCTATAATCTAATGGAGTGTTAGATGGAAATAAATACAAGACCAATGACAACATATCAGTGTGGCCTGTCACAGAAGAGATGACAGTTAAGCCTTGAAGTGAGAGTTTGCCAGGCAGGCAACTGAGGGGATGAGAAGATATAGAGGAAAATATAGAAGGCACAGGATATGTTTAGCTGTAAAGAATTGAAGACCCTAATTCAATGTCTTAATGCATGGGGATATTATTCCACACAAGAAGTCCAAAAGTACCCTTTGGTTCCAGGATTGAGTAATTTGAGGGGTCAGCATCACTGACAACCCAGGTTCTTTCTGTCTTTTTTTCTCTTCGTCTTCAGCATCCTTTGGCCTTAATCCTCAGGCTGGTCCCTGTCATGGTCACAAGATGCTGTCACAGTCGCAGGCATCACATGCAGGTATGATCGTGTCCAGTTGAAGAAGAGGATGTCCTTTCCCATGGGCTTCTTTTTCAAAGCCCCATTCTCTTCACATCTTACTGTTCAAACTGGCACACTCCTCTCCTAAACTGCTAGCAAGGGAAGCTAGACGACTGCTTTAGAATGGCCAGGATTTGCTCCTGACCTGAAGCTAGGACTTCTCCTGATGTTCATATTCCTGAGTAATCAGTTTTCTTTTAACTGAGGAAGAAGTGGAGAATGTCAACCAATAGAATCTGCCACAGCAGCTAACCAACTGTGGTTCTCCTGGTTTGGGAGTGGGAGGAGGGGTGAAGAATGGCTGCAAGGATTCCCATCTGGGGCCTGGATGACGTGTAAGATCATTCAGAGTCAGGTAATTAGTTTGGGGGAGAAAGTTATGAGCTTATTTCTAAACATCTTGAGTTTGCCATGTACACCAGACAATTGGAACTACTGGTCTGGGACCAGGAAATGAGGACTGGTTCTATGTGGTCATCCCCTACATAGGGATGTCCTTGAAGTGCCAATGATGTGATTGCCCAAGAGAACACAGACAAAGAAGAAACCCTTCTCCGTGCTTTCATTGCCTCCTTTGTAAAATGGCAGTGATAATAGTATCTATCTCATAGAGTTTGCGTATGAGGATTAGATGAGTTAAGACATTTAAAGGGATTTTAAACAGTGCCTGGCATGTAATAAGCACTAGAAAAATCTACACTAATAAAAGAGAAAAATGGTAATTGGCGTACGACCGCTACCCTTCCCATTGGCTAATCAGCGTATCCTTATGCAAATTAACTGTCAGCCAAGATGGCGGCCGGCAGCCAGGCAGCTGGAAGCGAACACGAGGCTTGCTTGCTCCCGTGACTGCAGACTCCAACGTTCCCCGCCTGACTTGCCAGCCTCTGAGCTGGCAGTTTGAAACATTCTAACAAATATAGCCGGCTGGGATCTCAGAGCTGAAGTTATACATTGTTTCGATTATAGAA